CTCTTCCGAGGTGTAGATATCTTACAGCTTAGCCCTTCGCTTCTGAGACCTCAGCGGTACAACGGGGTTGACGTTGCTGCACACAACTGTCGCTGTTAAGCTTCCTCTCTCTCGAGGTGGCAGCTGAGAGAGAAGGGAAAAAAAATGTAAATGGGATGTCAGATTCCTCGTGAATCTGAGATGAGGGTCAATGTTTGAGAGTAATGGAGGATGGTGCTGAACTTCCCATTTTATGGGCTGCTCCCATAGTTGGTTTTTTTTTTTAAATACAGCTTTTCTCCCTGGCTAAGTGAAAAATATGTATCATAAGATTCTGAGAATTTCAGCTGAACTTTAATCTGCTAGGTATGCAACCCAAGTATTGCAACAGCAGGAACCCGAGAGCGTAACTGACTTGTCATTACAGGAGTTGAAAAAACCAGAAACAGCAAATAGCACTTCAGAAATGACGAGCAAATAGGATTACTGTTCTTTCAGCCTTAATGATGTGAAGTGCAAGCAGTACCGTAGGTAAGGAAATTTCCCTTAGATGTGATTTACGTTGATGGTGCTCTCCTACCAAATGTCTTCTCTAATTTATACTTTTTTAACTCTTCCCTCTAACAAGACGTGGTAGCTGCTATACCTGTTACAGCCCTGTGTCCTGTCGGCACCAGTCCAATATTCCACGTGGTGCCACCGGGGACAGCTTTATTTCGAATGAGCAAATAAGCGCGGCCCAGCTGTGGTCCTGGATAGCTCTAATTTGCACAGTCTACTCTGTTCATAGCCGCAAACCAAATTACCGCTTGGGCAGCCTGCACGTAAAGAGCTGGATCCCTTCAGTTGGTCAGGAAACAAATGAATCGGAGTGAGCGCCCTCGATGCGGTCACGGCGCTCAGATAGCGCTGCTGGACTCTCCTCCGAGAGCCGTTTGAGCACTGTGTTGTGCTAGGAAACTGCTCCCAGGAGACGTCCACGTCCTGCCACTAAAAAAGGGTTAATGCTCATTCTGTGAATTCTCCTCAGCATGTACTGCTTCAGCTAGACTTTGGTTTTCACTTATATGTCTTTCTGGAAGCTAGAGGGATTTTTTTTTTTCTTTCGTACCACCGAGAACAGGAATAGAAACTTTGCAATAAGCTCAGAATGTTCTTTGGCTCGGTGCATGGGAAAGAGATTTAGGGTTGGAGTTCCTATTGCTTCACACTTACTCCTGCCTGCTAGCAGGGTAATGATTTTGTGGACAGGCGTTTCTCTTAGATGAACCGTTGGCAAAACTGCCTGTTTCTCCCTAATTTACTGTTGTCGTATCTCCGCAGCTGGCTTCTGGAGGTGGATGCTTCGCCTTCCCTCGCTGCCAGTAGCCAGGAAGACTGAACTCAAGTGTCAGCTCCTCAAAGACACGCTTCACGTTGTGGACAGGGAGGGCAGGCGGGCAAAAAGATGTTTATTACTTTCTAAGGGTTCTTATTAAAATGATTGGAATGGATGGTCTGGTTCCATGTCTGTCTTGGCAACTGATCATAATACTCTAACCTTTCTAGTGATTAAATGATGAATTTCCAGAAACAGAGCAAAGTAAGCAATGACACTGCCGTGCCAGAGTGGGAAAACAAAGCAGCACGGGGCTGCAAAGGGAACGGTCTGTGTCGGAGCTGGGCCTTGCACAAGAGCTCTCTGTCAGAGGCCCTTCTGCATTGTGCCTCCCACGCTCACCGCTCCGGAGCGCTCTGTTCCGAGCAGCTTGTCTTGCAGCATTTTGTGATTGACTTTACAACTGCGCTAACCTCCGATATTAATAGTAGAAAGGTGTCCGCTGCTTTCAGCTGTTCAGCTTTGTCTCCGATTGTCCGGGAGTTCATTCCTGTGTGCAGACAGCTAATTGTCATTGCTCAGGTACTTCGGTGCACATATGTGATGTTGTAGGCTGACGGGGAGGGAGAAGCGCGTTGGAGGCTCTGACCTGCTAGGGAACGACGGGCCTGTCAGCAGAGGGGGAGACCCGCGGCCGCCGGTGAAGGAGAACATCATGGCAAACACACATTTAGGTGCTGGCAGGGCGCCCTGCTCGCGCCCCTAAGCTATCCGCACATCAGCGAGAGGAGAGCACGCACCTTTCACCCGAGAATAAAAGAACAAGAACGGGCTTGTGGGCTTTTACAGGATTAAGAGGCCAAAAGGAACAAATGCTTTCCAAAGGCGGATGTAAGCGCCCAGGCTGCGGGAGCGCTGTTGAAAACAAGCGTGTAAATGCAGTGGGAACAGTTTTGTTCCTAGTCCTGCTTTTCACACGTTAAGTCACAGCAGTTCTTCGTACGCCAGCTTTGCCGCAAAAACGGCGCTGCAGCCGCTGTGGTGACCGTGCGCTGGGCGCTCTGCTGCAGCTAGTTGTGTATTGTACTGTCGGGAAGTACTGCTCGGATTCTGAAGTCGTGCTTCCCAGAGGCTGATGTGTATTGTAACTTTATTTTGCAGTACGAAGCTCGGTGTGCCTACAGTCGGCTCTGGCTGTAGTTTCTAACTAACAAAACCCGAGTACAGCTTCACCTGAAAGCGGGACATTGCCTCGCCTCTCCGGGAGGAGTAAGGTGACGCGTAACTCCCCCGTTAACGTCTTCATTGCAGGCCGCTACGATGACAGCAAGAAAGAACTGAAGCGGCTTTTCAGGAACCTTCCTGCCCAGCAGAAAGTGTAATGCTGATCCCAGGCTTGGGATGGGAGAGATCCTTGTGGATGAGGTTCACCCTCTCTTCCTCATATGGGGCAGCAGCAGTTCCCACTTCTCGCAGCGCAAGACGCCGGCCTTCTTGCTTCGCAAGGTTTCCCAGCTTGGAAGCTGCGGTAAGCTTGGTAACGCAGTATTTCATAACGGCTGACACAAGAGACAGGGGATGCTGGCGTCTCGGCTGCCCCTCCGCACTCGCAGAGCTTAGTTCTCTGCCGGTAAGAAAATGAAGGGGCTAAACACCGGCAAAACAAATCTTTTGGGAAAGGCAGGCACCTGATCCTCCTACTGCTACTACTGTGGGAACATGTCAGAGCAGAAAACCTGTTGCCACGATACTGTAAAAATAACCTTGCCATCACACGTTACGGGGACGGGCTGTACGACACGGGTTATGCAAGAGTGCGGCTGACACGGGGACTTGGCACAGCGTGCTGCCGCTCGCTCCCAGAAGAGATGCAATTTTCTGAAAAAGCCACAGGCAAGACAGTTCAGGTAATAAGTTGATGTTATTTTTAATCTGTGTACCTGAAACTTAAGCCTGAAGCGGACGGCCTCGCTTCTTGCCGTTGTACATTTAGGGTACGGAATTGTAAAGCTCCGATCGAGCAATAGTGGTTGGCTTTTTAGATTTCAAGAAATCGCACCTCAGTTTGAAGGAGTGTGAAACAGGGTCTTTTCAGAACTCTGCATACTTTGAAGAGCGTGTGGAAGCGGGCGAAGCAGCGCCGGGCCGGCCGGAGGCAGC